AGGCCTTCTGCCTTCAGCCTCAGATTTTTCATCCTCTTGGACTCTCCTTCTCCTTTTTAGTTATGTTTTTAATTAAGGTTTTATGTATATATATGTTTTATGTTTTAATGTTTGTTGTGAATCACCCAGAGTTCCCCCATTGGGGGGAGATGGGTGGTTGAAAAATTTGATTGATAGATAGATAGATAGATAGATAGATAGATAGATAGATAGATAGATAGATAGATAGAAGCCAGGGCCAGGGCAAAAAACACTTGTCAAATTGAACTTTACAATGGTAGCAATATTGGCAGGATCCTACAGTTGGCTGTGGAGCGCTTCAGCTGTGCCATAATGTAAGAGAACCGGCATCCATTTCTCTTCCTTATCGAATCACGCTGGAGCAATCTGGAAACTGGAATGTGCTTTGTCCTCATAGAAATGTTAGTTCTGGAAGTCTGACTACCCCCACATCTTCCTTGGCTGAGGCAGCAGAAACAGCCACTGCTGAGAAACAATTTTTAGGTCATTCCATTTTGAAAGGCCGGCTTGAGGCAAGAGATTTCCTAAAGGTTTCTCTGCTGCCTCCTTATTTTTCTTGGGAAGGAAGAATTTGCAGTTCTTCTCCTGGAGGCAGGAGGTGACTTACCAGCCTGAGGGTAGAACAATTTAAAACAGTTGTGTTGCTCTGTTGCATTACCAAAGCATAATGTCTCTTGAATAATCAGTTGGAACCAGCAAATCTTCAGGTAGGATTCATCTGCAGCAGGGGTAGATGTTTTCCTTTGCCACAGAAGCTGATGGATGGATAGATGGACTATAGCTCTCAAAGTTGAAAGCTGTGTTTGTGGGTGATTATGGGAGCTGTGGTTCAATTCATGTGGAGCGCGCTAGGTTGAGGAAGGCTGCAGTAGAACTTAGTTAAGTAACGATGGTGGTAAAACAAGACTTAGAAGCATGCACACCTGTGTGTGTTTTGCCACCCCACTCTCAGTTCGTGTGCCTTGCAAGCTGTCTGTTTTCCAAGCATGAGTCACATTAACTTTACTGAGAGGGAAATGTGAGGAGAAGGAAGTCCCAAAGGAATGCATATAATGAGATGCCATTGTTGAAGTCAGAAATCCAGAACTTTGTTTTATTCTTTTGCAAATTATGCATCAGATTGAGAGTTGCATCCTGCGGAAGAATTTAAGCAGTTTGAATATTCATGCATGTTTTAGCACAGGGCTCCTGAGCATAGCCAGAGTTTTAAGCGTGGCAGCCATTAATTAGCAGTCCCATAATAGCTTTGCTCCATATTAGTAGTGAGGCTTCAAGAGGAAGTGAATCAGACAGCGACTTAGCTGAAGTTGCAGTTTGACATTTAACAGGTGCGGCGCAGCATCGCGATTCTATTTTCATCTTTTGCCTTTTTACACTCAATTTCTAACCAATCCTGTCTTAGAACCCTGTCATTCCTTGTTGCTTGCTTATAAATACGCCCTGTTTTCTTTGTTTCGGCGTCTTGCCCATGGAGTGACCCTGAACATGTCGAGGGGAACTTTATTGGCTCCGCAAACCCTTCACAAAATGTTTGGAGACTGAAGTACCGCTTGAGCGGGGAACCAACCTCCACTTGTCCCTGCAGGGCCAAGTGAGAAGGGAAAGAAAACTTGTAAGTCGCAAACTGTATAAAAATAAATTCAGAAACTCCCTCCTACAGATTTTTCCCCAACTGTCAGGTTCACCCCAAGAAACTCAGCTGGACAATCCAGGAACAGCTCAGTTACTTTATTAGCTTGCACCTACTAGACAGAAACTCGCCAGACTAACTCTAACCCCCAACGACAGCAACTAAACACTCTGAATTCCTGAGGGTGGTGCCAGTCTCCTTCTCTTCACTCTCACACACTCCGGCTGAGGACCGAGGAGATGCTTGGGATTCCTCTCCCCCCCTCCCCGTGACCTTGGACCTCCTCGCCCATCCCTTCCATCACACCAACAGTGCCAAGTCTTGACAGCATTCCACTAACATTAAGTGTTAGCCCTTTGAGGTAGTCCAGACAAGACGCACAACCACGAGGACTAACTTCACTGCAAGGTGACATTAACAGAGGCTTGCAAGACCGAAAGCGTTTCCTGCCCCTTTCCTTTTACTCTCTGGCAAGCTAGGGAGGGTCCCTTCTGAAATGCTTCCCACATCCCCTCTCCTCCTGTGGGCTGAGCGATCTTTTATGTGCCGGTTGTCCAGTTTGTCTCCCAAGGACATTCCCACGTGCCATTACATCAGGGTCTGAACTCCACTGCCGCATCTTTTGGGGGCTGAACACCAGCGCTGAATGCAGGGCATTTACACGACGGAATAAAACATCCGCGTGTTAAAAGGAGGGGAACCTTTGAGAAGTTCAGAGGGGTGGACTCTGTTTAGGTTTCAGGCCCAAATTGCAAGCTTGGGGCCTAAGCTCTCTTCTTTCAGTGAAATTATTTTATGTCTCTCTCTCCTTAAAGAAAAAATAATAGTGACGAAGCCAGTAATATATTGTGCAAGAATCTTTAAAAAGAGGTCAGTATGATTTGACCTGGTATCAAAGTGCAGTAGTATAGTTTGTACCTTAAAATAGAGTCTGTACACCCGGACAACAAAAGGGATTCCAGGAAGCAGTTTTCATCTTAACTTTTCACAAGTTGGTCCGTGTAAATTCGCTGGGAGATTTTTCACCCCTCTGTGTTTGATGGCGAGGTCTTGGGTTTGCAGCGCAGGATGGCTTTGGGATAAGGAAACTCTCGGCCAAACACAGGAGGCCTGTAGGCCCACAGCCAGGATCAGGGTGCATTAAAACCTGTATTCCATTCGGCAAATGACTGGGCCAGGTGGGGCGTGCCTGTGAAATAAACTTTTTTAAAATTGCAAGAGCCTTGATTGATCATCTGTTTAAACGCCAAGCAAAGCATCCGAGTTGCTGTCCTTCGCATAGTTCTGCGTAAGGAAATATCCTTTCATCCTGGTAGTTCTTAACTATGTAAGATGATATTTTGGTTGCCCAGAACAGCCTCACTGTGGGTTTATTACATAATAGATAGCATCCAGAATGTCAGGTTACCCCTATTTGATTACACATGGAACTAAACTAAGGAGGGGGCTGCCTGCTGTTGCTGCACAGCGGAGGAGCTCTTTAACCCACCTTTGTAGGCAATTTACTCAGCTTTGTGCAGGCAGATGCCTTCTGGATATGGTGAGCTGTAAGTCTTATCCCACAGCCAGCATGACTAATGGTCATGCTCATGGGGTGATGGGAATTATAGTCCAACACACCCAGAGAAAATCTTGTTACAGAAGTTGCATTAATGGATTGCTTGCTTGCTCGCTTATTTATTTAGCTAGCTAGTAAATTTATATAGCCTCCCACCTCACAAAAAGTGACTCTAGGCAGCTTGCAAGCAGAATAACAATTAAAACCACATCACAATATAAAAAAATCAGACATAAATAACAACAAAAATAAAACCATAAAGGAAAACAACATAAAAGAACTCCAAGATGGTGAGAGAACAACCATCATTTAGCCTCATTCAACTACTTTCCAGGCTCCCTGTGGGTCCCCCAGGGTTGATGGAAGAACAGCATTTTCAAGGCTTTCCAGAAGGCTAGCAGAGATGGGGCTAACCTCACCTTGGGGAATGATATTTCAGAGGGCAGGGGCTACAGCAGAAAAGGCGCGTCTCCTGGGTCCCACCAGATGGAGCTCCTTAGTAGATGGGACCCGGAGCATCCTCTTTCGCTGGACCTGATGGAATGGGTAGATGTAACCGGGAAGAGACGGTCCCTCAAATAACCAGGTCCCATGCCGTGTAGGGCTTTAAAGGTCATTGAATTGCACCCAGAAGCAAACTGGCAACCCATGCAGCTTGCAGAACAGAGGGGTAACGTGTCATCCTAGAGGCGGACACAGCGGCCTGCACAGCCACATTCTGCACCAGCTGAAACTTCCGGATGCTCTTCAAGGGCAGCCCCATGTAGAGTGCATTACAGTAATCCATTCTGGAGGTGACCAGGGCATGAGTGACAGTGAGTAGAGCCTTATGGTGGAGGCAGGAGCGCAGCTGGCGCACAACTCAAAGCTGTTCAAAGGCCTTCCTAGCCACGACTGCCACTGCTCCTTGAGTAGGAGTTGAGAGTCCAGGAGGACTCCCCGATTGTGCACCGGGTCTGTCTGGGGCAGTGGCACCCCATCCAGTACCAAAGATGGTAAGTTCCCAAATCCAGAAGGCCCAAAAACTCAGAGCCGCTCAGTCTTGCCAAGGTTTAGCTGAAGCCTAATTTTCCCCATCCAGACCCCCACAGCCTCCAGGCACCCTTTACATTGAACCTTGTTGAAATGCCCCAAATTCAGGTCATTGTGAAAACGGCAGTTTAATAATTGTCTGGGTTGTGGGGGGGTTGCACGTTTTTCAGAATGGGGAATTGGATTTGATGGCCCAAGTGGCCCCAAGTCCCACAGCCCTTCTTCAGAAGATAAGTGTGGTCTGTAAAAGAAATTGTCTGGCAGGATTAAGTTCGTTGTTGAATTATGGAAGATTATAACCAAGGAGACAAGAAGGAAATCATTGTCAATTTTCTCCCAAGCTTCAGGAGCACCTCCATGGTTACAATAGCTATAGCTGCAGGAAGAGCTACAAGATCGTCTGCATAGCATCGCCTCCCTTCTTACTAAGTTCTCTTTCTTGACAGGGTATGACTTTGCTGCTGTCTTGGAGTGGTTTGCTGAGCGGGTGGACCGCATCATTCTCCTCTTCGATGCCCACAAGCTGGACATCTCAGATGAGTTCTCGGAAGTCATCAAAGCACTGAAGAATCATGAGGATAAAATGAGGGTCGTCCTCAACAAAGCAGACCAGATTGAGACCCAGCAGCTCATGAGAGTCTACGGTGCCCTTATGTGGTCTCTAGGAAAGATTGTCAACACCCCCGAAGTGATTCGGGTCTACATTGGCTCCTTCTGGTCCCATCCGTTGCTCATCCCAGATAATCGCAAGCTCTTTGAGGCTGAGGAGCAGGATCTCTTTCGAGATATCCAAAGCCTCCCCCGCAATGCAGCCCTTCGGAAACTGAACGACCTCATTAAACGGGCCCGTCTAGCCAAGGTGAGTCTTTCTAGAGGCGGGTGCAGGTGCACCTCTTGACTCGGAGGTGGAGACTCAGAAGGTCACTCCCTCTCGATCCTGGAGACTTTAGTGCAGTGTTGTCCAAACTTGGCCAGTTTAAGATGAGTGGACTTCAACTCCCAGAATGCCCCAGCCAGCC